AAGTCTTGGGGAAGCCCCGAATGCGTGGGAACGCCCCAGGCACAAGTCGCCACATTTTGCAGGATTGACGCAGGCAGCGATCGCACATGCACAAGTTCAGCAGTCACCAGCGAGCCAGACGATATACGACCTCTACGACCACCAAGCACCACCGACCAACCACCACCCACAACCCAAAGGATGGCCCATCACACCACCCTACAAGTCAACGCTGCCCTGGTGAGGCAAGGATCAAACTTCGAGACGGGCTCGAAGGGTGGGGGGGCAGGACGAGCACTGCCCGCGCCTACCAGGGGGGATGGTGAGGTGCAGGGGGGGGGGGGGTAGGACGGCCACTACCTGCGCCCCCGCGGTCCGCCCTAGCTCGCCACCCCCCGCCATCCCCATGGCGGAGACGGAGCTTACCCGAGCGCCCAAGGGGCGAAGCGGAGGGCTACCGAGACATCCCTCACCGACAATAGAAGCAAGCACTAGGCCTGGGGTTCGCCCCCGCCGAGGGCACTGTGACCCCTAGCCATAGCGGGACGAGGTGGGGCCGCCACGAACCCCACTCGAAGTCGGCGCATGGAGGCCTCATAAGTGCGCCCACAACCCATATCACAACACCAGCAACAAGCCGACCTCCCAACGACCCACCCACAGGCACGCACGACAAGCACCCCAACGGCTGATTCGAGTACCACAGGTTCGAGCACCACAGAGTCAAGCAGCACCACTTGGACCAGCACGACTGAGTCGAGTACCACAGATTCTAGCATCACAGAGTCAAGCAGTACCACTTTAACCAGCACTACTGGGTCGAGTACCACAGGTTCGAGCACCGCCGAGCCCAGCACTACCACGTTGACCAGCACGACTGAGTCGAGTACCACAGGATCGAGGGCCACCGAGTCAAGCACTACCACGTCGACCAGCACGACTGGGTCGAGTACCACAGGTTTGGCACCACATTGTCAAGCAGCACCGCGTTGACCAGCATGATTGGTCGAGCACCACAGCTCGTGCACCACAGAGTCAACCCGTACCACGTTGACCAGCATGACTGAGTCGAGTACCACAGGTTCGAGCACCGCAGAGTCAAGCAGTACCACTTTGACCAGCACGACTGAGTCGAGTACCACAAGTTCGAGCACCACATCGTCAAGCAGTACCACAGGTTCGAGAACCACAGAGGCATGCAGAGCGAAGCAGGGGGGCAGCCTGCCCCGCGACGTGGGATACACAGCGCATGGCGCCGAAGGGTGCATCCCCGTCGCCCTCGCGTAACATGCGAGGGGCCGCGGCCAGCCGGCCAGAAGCGGCGAGTGCTGGCCAGAGCGGCCAGCCAGTGCAGGACGAGCTGGAGCACACGAGCGGCTCGGCGAGCCTCCACAGCGCTCGGCGCCGAAGGGTGGAGGTCGCCAAGGCGGGGGGCAGCCTGCCCCTAGGAGCCGGCGGCCTGCCACTCCACGCCGGGCGCAGCGGCGGCGCAGGCTGAGGGCCCACGAAGCGGCCTACGGCCTGCTGGCGGCGGGCGGCCCGCCGCGCGGGCGGCCGCGCGCCGCGTCTTTGGGGCCCCGGGGGGCCCCGCCTTGAAACCCGGCCCCGTCTCTTCCCCTCTGTTACGTTTATTGGTCCCTGGTCCTCTTTCTCTTCCTCGGGGTCGGGTTCCCGGGGCCGTCGTCAGAGTGCCCGCGCGGCCCTCGCGGGCTGCTGCGGCGCGCTCCGCGCTCCGGGCGCGCGCGAGACGCTGCTCGGAGCGAGAAACGCGAGAAACGCGAGGAGGAGGACGGCATCCCGTCGCTGAAGGTCGACGTGGTGAGTGAGCACTTCGCCAGCACGGGCGGCGTCGGCAAAGAGATGATCCAGGGCGAAGTTGCAGTCGCAGCTGTCCAGAAGGCGGCCCAGATAGACGAACACGACGATTGATGATGCCGAAGGGGGATGGGGGTTGATGAGGACCGAGACGACGACGGCGACGACGACGGCGACAGCGACCTCGACCACGAGTCGGAACGACAACGGGAGGCAGATGAGGGAGGATACCCAAGGATAGCCATGTGGGAAATGGCACGGAGGAGGCGGGAGGAGGATGAGGAGGAGGAAAAGGAGGAGGAGGGGAGGAAGGGGGCGGAGGAGGAGGAAGGGGGAAAAGGAGGGGACGACGGGGGGAGGAGGAAGAGTCGGAGGAGAGGAGCAAGAGCAGGGGGGAAGAGGAGGACGAGGAAGAGGTGTCGTTTTCGGCCGCCTCGGGCCGCCTGGGGGCGAGGAGCGCCCAGAATCTTTTCGAACCACGACCGCGAAACTCGACGAACAACCGAAGTGCATTCAGCCTTCAACCTCCTCGTCCGTTGTTTGGCCGTTGCCCCGGACGAAGCTAGAACCTAAGCGCGCGCGTAGCGCGCGCGTGGTTCTAGTATATATATATACATATATATATGTATATATACAAATGTTCCTTCGTGATCTTCCCTTCCTTCATGTCCTGCGCGGCCTTCCTGCACTCCATCAGCCTGTGGTTCTTCTTCGCGCGGTGCTTGCATGGCTGGTTCGTCGGTTTGCTGTCGCAGCCCTTACCCCTTGCTCTTCTCCATGCCTTGCCTTTGCCGTCCCTCCCGTACGCATCCACATCCATCGGCGCTGGTCCGCCAGGCGCCATCGCCGCCTGCTTCGACCTCAGGTAATTTAACATATCTGCCCAGACCAGCGCATGCGTGGTGAACTCGTCGCATTCAGCATCACATGTTCCCGAAGTTTGCCTGGGACCTGTCGGGTATTGGGCGCCGACTTCTCGATGGACTCCATGACCCTCTCTCTTGTCTGCTCCTCGTAGCGCTGAACGAGCGTCTCTCACGACGCAATGCCTTTGATCGGATCATTATGCTGTAGACTTGGATGCAATTGTAAATCCAGCATCCGCGCGGACGTCGACGGCACCTTGGGCTCGAACTCCACGCGTAGTAATCGCCGCGTTTCCAGTCCCTCGCCTGAAGAAAAAAAAAACGCCCCTCACAATACCCTGCGCCTTGTCTTTGCACGTCAACACCAAAATGTAATAAGTTGGTGTTCACACGCTGCGCGTCCTCGCCCACATCTTCGCGCGCGTGGGCCTCAGCGCCCGCCTTCGCTGCGCCGCGCATCAGTTCGGCCATGCGTGGATCCACTGCCATACAGTATGCTGCTGGGACGCAACTCCAGTTATCCCAAGTCACTCCGCCCTTGTACTTCGCATTCTCGTCGAGGTCCCCTTGAGAACTTGTCAGGCTTGCCCAGCAATTTGGCATCCACCAGCGATTCTGGACGATGGGCAGGTCCTGGTCGATATTCCTCATGTCCTGCCATTCCAGCTGCTCCAGCTGCTACCTCTGCTGTTGCTGGCCGAACGCTGGCCTGCTGGACCTGCCTCTCTAGCTCCGTCATCTGATCACGCTGTCTGATCATAACACCCTCCATGGCCAGTGTCCGTTGCAACACCTCCTCCGCTGCTGCCATCGCGGCGCGAGGAACGTGGGGCCTGGCCGTGGGCACAAACCAGGCCCCGCTGCCATGCGGAATGGCGAAGCCTCTGGATTCCTTTTCTAGAGCCAAATGGCTTCAGTACGCACACTATCAGCTAGTGCACCTGTGCATTTCCCAATGGTTTTGCATGATTTTGTTTACTCGGTCATTCGGTCTTCCAGGCGTCCGAGACCGCCCGCGAGGCACCGAAAGCCACTCCAAGACGACCGCCCAAAGGCCCCCTGACATCCCAAAAGAGCCCCAAGACGTCTCACGATGGCGCAGAAACTGCCCACAGAGGCCCCCATAACGACCCAAAATTATCCCCGCGCGCCCTCCAGAATCAAACCGTGACACGAGACCACGGTTCGCGGCATGGTAGCCCGCAGACCCCCCAGAGACTGCCAAAACGCGCCAGGGACGTCTCCAGAGGCGCCTAAGGAACCCCTAAAACTGCTCGCGCGGTCCTCTGGAAGCTTGCTTCGGAGAAATTCCTGCAAGCAAATCTGAGGAGGACGGGGAAGGGTTCGCGAGACATTTCAGGCGAGAGCGAGGAAGAAGAAGAGGACACATGAGGGAAGGAGTAGGACAACCAACATGATAAAGGATGATGGTTGAAAGTGCAACCATGATCGATCGTTGTCTTGACTTATATGCCTCTCATGTCGCCTACATGTTAGACGTGAAGGACCAATGTGCCTGTCGCGACACGTCTGTATATTGTACACATGGATAGTTAAGCATGTATATGTAGATTTACCGGAGCCCATATATATGTATATATACATATATAGTTATACATATATATATATACATATATATATTTATATATATATATATATATGTATATATATATATATATGCATGGTAGCCCCCCCCCCCCCCACCTGATCATACATATTCTTCTTTACCGCGGCCGCCGATCGATGTCTTCTTTCTCCGTTCCCTTCTCCTGTCTCTTCCTTTCTCTCCTCCTCCTCCTCCTCTTCCTCCTCCTCCCCCTCCTCCCCGTGCTATTCCTTCTCGGAATCATCGAGATCGTCAGAAACTAAAGAAAACCTGCAAAAAAACAAAAAACATCAACCATGATTTCCGGAGAATTTCTGGGGCGGCTGGCGGCCAAAATTCGCCAGAAATCGTAGTTTTTTTTTTGGGTTGTTTCGTCTCCTCCTCCTCCTCCGCCTCCACCTTCTCCCTCTTCTCCTCCCCCTCCACTCCTTCTTCCCCTCCTTCCCCTCTCCCCCTCCTCCGTTATGCCGCCGGCCGTCAGCGTGAGGGTAGGTGCCGCAATTCCACCGATTGCTATCCAATCTGTCGCAACCGTTGCGTTGCTATGTTTCCAGGCGGAGCGCGCGCATAGAGTTTTACAAAAGATGGTGGTTCATACGTGCGCGCACGCATCGCACCGACTGCCATCGGCTACGACTGCGTCGCGCATCATGTGCGCTCGCACGGCGCGGCCGCCTCCTCAGTCAGCCTCGCTGCGGCGCGCCGTCGCCGACTCAGAGGGCGGCCCCCCCTCGTCAAGCGCGCGCGAGCTCTGCCGACAGACCGTCGCCATCCTCGACATCGATCGTTTCACCGTGGGTCGAGGCGGCAATGGAAGCGCAGATCGCCCTCTGCTCATCGGCATCCACGGGTGACAGCGGACCACCGCAGCCCATCATGAGCCCCCTCGCCCTCTTCACTGGCGGAGGCGAGGACAAGTCCTCGAACGCACCGTGGTGCGCCTTGGCGAGGCTCTTGAAAATCGCGAGCTGCTCGTCCTGGTCCTCCGTGGTGAGCTCGCCGCAACGCCCAGCGATGTTGGGCTGCGCGGAGCTGGCGGCGCGCGAGCTGTCTTCTGGCGGTTCGTCCATTCCGCCGCCGAAGCCGAACGCGTCCTCCTCCTGGGACAACTCGGCTGGCGGCTGGGAAAACGCCGAAGCGGCCGCGGCGGCTGGCGGAGCGCTGGCCGCGCCTGGAACGAACCCTGAAACGTTGCCGACAGCGGAGACAACGCGCGCAGGGCCATCGCCGAAGATAGGAGCAACATGGACAGTCGCAATAGTGGGCACGTCAAGGCCCGCGACCACATTGCTCATGCACCCAATCGACCGAGCCATCTTTTCGGCGTAGTCTGAGGGGAGCGGGCGGATGGCTGGCGACGTCGCGTCCCGCACTTCGCTGACGAAGAGGTCGGGGCTCCTGGGGCTGGGCCACGGCATGAACTCTGCACCGTCCTGCAGGTTGGCGGATGCCACGCGCCAATGCACGCCGAGGTCCGTCACCGCGATGACGCGCGCCCTGGCGAGGATGGCGTTGAAGTCCTCCTCTGTCCTGACATCCTCCAGAGACGGCGCGATGATACGCTTGAGCAGGTCGAGGCCGTGCTTGTTTAGCGTCGCGGCATCCAGCGCCGCCTTCTCCGCGTCGCGGTCGCAGGCGTTCGCGACGGCCTGTCTGCGCGACCCTTGCTCGAAAGCGCATCCGCCCCACCGAGCCCACAGCAGAGCGTCCTCTTTCTTGGGGTTCAAGAAAGCCTTGAGCACATCAGCGGATACCTTCAAGCGGCCAAGCGTTCGCCCGATCACCAACGCCGCCGCGACTTCCACGTGGGAGGGCGATGCGGTGGGAAGAACCGCAGTCTCCCTGGAAGCCGCGGGCGGCAATGGCGTGGGCCACGCCAGGCCACCGAACCTTCTGAAGCAGGCCGTCGTCGAAAATGCCAGGGAGGATCTCCGTCGTCGGCTCGCCCATGAAGAAATCCATATGCTTCACCGTCAGGAAAGCGATCTCATCGGCGGTGCCCTTCTTCTGTATGCTGTACGCCGAATGAACCCAAGCAGGCGTCTTCGAACCGTTGCTCTTGCCAACTCTGGACTTCCCGACCCACATCACCCCGTGCGTGTGGAGCGTGCCAATCATCAGGCGGAGGACGCCATTGAGGAACCAGCCAGAGAAGTCCTTCAGCGTCAAACTCCAGCGCGAGATCGGTTTGGCATTCGTCCTGCCCTTCTGGTAATTGCGCAGCGCAGTCTCCACCTTGGACGCAGGCCATCCGAATATCTTCGAACCCTCCCTGTTGACCCCTGCGTCAGCCCATTCCATGAATTGGTTTCTGTTATTGCTGCGGGGGCCGTGTTCACGGATGAACGTGTAACCCTGCGCGCGCTCGTCCTCCTCTAGCGGCTGCTTCCGCTCGCGCTGCGGCTTGATCGTGAAGTACCTTGCGGTGGAGGCGCTGGATAGGCATACATACGGTGAGAAGCCCAGGGGGTCCCGATCGCTGGGTCGCCGCAGATAGGGCGCCCAACTCGTTTTGAAACACGGGGCGGGGGAATTCCCCTGAGCTGGGGCGGGCAGGAGGGGGATCTTTATCCGAGCGCGCCCACCGCATTTGATAGCCATCGAGCTTCTCCAGCATGAACTGGAACGCAATCGACCCCGCCCGAACGTTTTTGCCGTAGTCGATTTTGTGGGCCTCTCCGCGAGCACACTTGAGGATGGTCGCAGAATCGACTCTGTTTTTATCGAAAGAAACAACCTTGAGGATGCGGTATGCCGAACACTCGCTGTCCTCTGGCTTCTGGCGAACGATGAAGATCTGCATCGTGTGCGGGACGACGGGCTCCTGCTTGAGCGACAGCGGCTCCTGCAAGTCCTTGAACCTACCCAGTGCGCGCAACTCGTGCACCTTGTCGAAGTCAATCGGGCCCTCGTAGTTGGATGCCATGTCGGCGAAAGCGACCAACTTCGTGGTACTCGAATTCGCGATCGGTAGCAGAGGGAGGTCGAAGATAGAAATGTCACCAGCGAAAGCAACCTGGCTTTCTTGACGCACTTCGAGGGGTGGTAGTCTAACTTGCTACCGCTGACCATCAACGACGCCTCCTCAAAGGTGAGCTTGCCGTCTCCCTCGGCGTCGTACGCAACCTGTCCCAGCGGCTGCACCTGAGCAGCAGGGGCGCTCGCCGTGATTCGTGGCGAGTGAACGGCGGGTCGGGCGGTGGCCTTGGATGGCGGGCAGCAGCGCGCAAGCGTTGATCACAGACGGCTGCGGATGCCAGCTGAGCACCTGGGGAGGGAGCGACGACGACGAACGATGCACACTGAAGATGGAAGTAAGAAGCAAGAGAGCGTGGGCACGACGACGATGAGTCAAAGATGTGGCACGGCTGCGGTGGGGACAATCAACGCGGCGTCAACCACGCGCACTCGGGAACACATGCGCGCTGTATAAAAACACGCCCCTCGACATCGGCACTCCGTAATAAAAACACACCCCTCGACATCGGCACTCAGTGCGCCGCGCCCATGACCTCCCAGATGGCATCCGCGGTGGCCGCCCACATATCCTTGCCCTTGTTCCAGTACTCGAACTGGGCCGAGCGAACCGAAGCCGCGATACGCCTGCTGCCTGGGAGGTCCGTGCGCGTGCCAATGAGGGTTCTGATGGACCTCCAGGCGCGGTCGGTGATCTGCGTCCCTGCCTTTACCCTGATCTTGGAGCCGTCGGGCAACTTGTGGGTGACAACCTTCGAGTGGACTGGCTTCAACCAGACCCACTTCCTGCCGATCTTCTTCCGCTTCTCGCAGTGCACGACGTGGTCGTGCACGAGCCCCGACGCGCGCATCTTGTAGCTGCGGGCCCCGTCAGAGTGCAAGGTGACCTTCCTTTTCTCTAAGCGGCTTTGGAGGAACGGCGCCCAATCCGTCTTCTTGATGGCGCCTGGGCCTGGCGCGTTGGCCTCGGTGCCGTCTGACTGGGTCTTCCACAGAACGAGGCTATCAGGGCGCCCGCGCTCGACGACGCCCGCCCACTGTTCCCACGTCTTGGAACGGCCGTCGTCGGACAGCTGGGCGCGGAAGACCGACTCATCCGCCTCCACGTCGAACCAGCGCCGCTGAGCTTCGTCGCCGAAGACAATGTTGGGTTCGTTCTTTTCCACGTAGATCTGCCGCGCGGCTGCCACGGCCGCGCTCATGTCCTCCATCATCTTGTGGTTGGCACCTGCCAGCAAGTGTATCTGGGCGGTGGTCATGCCGAGCGTGAGGCAGAAGAGGACCTTGGCCTTCGTCGACAAACTCGACGATTGGCAACCCCCGCCAGACTTGAAGACGGGGTGGGCGGTGCACGGGTTGACGGTCTTGCCGCGCAGCCTACCGCTGTTGCATCGCCAATGCGGGCCGCGATTGTCATCGTGCACCCGCGCGCCGCAGGTTCCGACGCCGCAGTGAGGGCAGGCGCGGCCTTCCCAGCCAAACAGGACGCCATCCTCGAGGAGCAGGTCTACCATCTGGTCCGCAGTTTTCCCGTGGAAGCTGTCGTAGTTGCGGCACCAGGTTTCGCGCTCCTTGCGGGATTTCACGGTCTTCTTCCCGTGGCGCACGTACTCGACCTTCTTCGCTTGCTTCCTGCGTTGGCCCATCTTGTCCTTGCCCCTCTTGCGCAAGGGGAACGGCCTGAAAGCGCTCGCAGGCCGCTTCTTCGGCGCGGAGGCGGCAGCAGGGCGTTTGATAGCACGCTTTCCCATCGCCGACGGTGGCAGAACGGTGGCCCAGACGGTCGGTTGAGAAAAACGCACTGAGCCAACATGTGTTGCGGGTGGAACTGGGGCCCTCCTTGTCTGGAGGTTCGTCGGCTTCCTCTGGTCGTGGAGGTGGCGCTGTCGGTAGTTATGGTAGGGGTGGTTGTATTAGCAACAGTAGTAGTGGTGGTAGTAGTACTAGTCGTCGTAGAGCTGTAGCAACAGTAGTAGTGGTGGTAGTAGTACTAGTCGTCGTAGAGCTGTATCAGCAGTAGTTGCAATAGAAATGGTAGTGGTAGTCGTAGTAGAAGAACAAAATCCCTACGACGCCCGTATCAGCGAGGGCATCCTAAAATCAGGATGCCCTTTTTGTGCAGCAGTGCGCCTGTTCACGTTAGACTGAACATGCTAGTCGGCGGCTCCATCGTCGCCTGATTTTCTGGGCGGGTGGTTCGTCCTGTTGTCTTGATGTCATCATTGTACCGCTTTTCCTACGGCGCCCGTATCAGAGAGGGCATCCTAAAATCAGGATGCCCTTTTTGTGCAGCAATGCGCCTGTTCACGTTAGACTGAGCATGCTTGTCGGCGGCTCCATCGTCGCCTGCTTTTCTGGGTGGGTGGTTCGTCCTGTTGTCTTGATGTCATCATTGCACCGCTTTTCCTACGACGCCCGTATCAGAGAGGGCATCCTAAAATCAGGATGCCCTTTTTGTGCAGCAGTGAACCTGTTCACGTTAGACTGAACATGCTTGTCGGCGGCTCCATCGTCGACTGCTGTTCTGGGTGGGTGGTTCGTCCTGTTGTCTGGATGTCATCGTTCCACCGCTTTTCCTACGACGCCCGTATCAGAGAGGGCATCCTAAAATCAGGATGCCCTTTTTGTGCAGCAGTGCGCCTGTTCACGTTAGGCTGAACATGCTAGTCGGCGGCTCCATCGTCGCCTGCTTTTCTTGGTGGGTGGTTCGTCCTGTTGCCTTGATGTCATCATTGCACAGCTTCTCCTGCGCGGCATCCGTCCTGGCAGAAGCGCGTTCCGCCCTCCATTCCCCCTGGCCCGCCTCCCCCTCCTCCTCCTCCTCCTCCTCCTCCTCGGTCGGCCCCCTGCTTTGCCTCTGTTCGTGCTCCCCGCCGCGCCGTGCCTCTCTTTTCCCGTTAGCGAGCGAAGCGTTCTTTGGCCTCGCGGCGGGCTCCTGCTTTGCCTAGTTGTCCTGAGAAAAGCGAAGGATGGCCCTCAAGTGAGTGACCCTCCAAGTCGCCCAGTCCCTCAGAAGCTTCGTCGCCTTCGGCGGCAGCTCCTGGTCGCACACGCGCGAGAAAGCCTCGAACCAGGACTTCCAGGCCTTGAGGGCCTTCGCGTCTGCAGCTCCCTTCGCCTGTGCGTTCTCCTTGGCCGTGTTGCTCTCGGCCAGTTCCCTCGTCAGTTTCCGCGCTCGCTCCTGCGCGGGCGAGGCAGCAAGGCACCCGAACAAACGGGGGGGATTTCGGTGGCGTGGGCTTGCTCGAGTTGCGTTTGCTTCGTGCTTGGTGCTCTTTGCTGGCGTTGTTGTCGTTGCGGTTGCGGTCGTTGCGGTTGCGGTCGTTGCGGTTGCGGTCGTTGCGGTTGTTGCCGTTGCGGTTCCGTCTTTTGCGGTTGCGGGCAGGGTGGTGGTGGTGGAATTTCAAAACGTCGTGTCCCGAAACTGCTCGTTGGACCACGCACGCTTCTCGGCGAGCTCCCAGTTGTCCGCCGCCTCGCCCTGGCACCAATCAGCCTGGGCATGAGCAGGCGGGACAATGCGTTTATATGTTTGGAGATGTTTGAAGCGCAAAGAGGAGGATAGATCGCAGCCTGCTCTTCCAGGTCCGCGATCTTCTTCAACAGCGGCCTCTGGAATCGCATCTTGAGCTTGTGCTTCGCCGCTTTAGCCTTGTCCTTTTTGACTCTGTCCTTGTACACGCGGTTGTTCTCGAGCTTGCGGTCGTACTGCTCCGTGCCGTGTTCGGGGTCGCCCATGGTTTCCCAGCGGGGCGCTGGCTAAGCGAAGCAACGGCCTTGAACACGCGTGTGCTGCACGAAACAAAAAAAGAGAAGGAGAACGAGTGAAGAAGGAGGAAGAGGAGGAGGAAAAGGAGGGGGAGGAGGACAATGGGGAGGAGGAAGAGGAGGAGGAGGAGGAGGAGGAGGAGGAGGAGGAGGAGGAGGAGGAGAGGAGGAGGAGGAGAGGAGGAGGAGGAGGAGGGAAGAGGAGAGGGAGGGGGAGGAGGAGGAGGACGAGGAGGAGGAGGAGGGGGAGGGGGGAGGGAGCAGGAGGAGGAGGAGGGGAAGGAAGAGGGGGGGGAGGAGGAGGAGGAGGAAGAGGAGGAGGAGGAGCAGGAGGAGGAGGAGGAGGAGAGAGAGGGACATCAGGAACATGAGGAGGACGCAGAAATTGGATGCAGAGGTTGAGGAATAGAAATGGGTTGCAATCCATTGAGCTGCATCCGTTTGGATTGCAATCAAATGGGTTTCGACTGCCAGCGCATCAACACATCATGGAGAAGAGCATGATGAGGGAAAGGCGAGGAACACCGGAGAGATGAAAGGATAATGTGTATGATCATGTGGGGGGGGCGAGCACATATATATATATATATATGTATATATATGCATACATAAATATACACACATGAATATACTACATGCGCAACTATATGCAGCAGGACATTCGCGCAGAAGCCTGCCGCGCAAGGCCGCGCGTGAGCGCCCTCTTCTTCACGCGTTGTGATGCGCTGGCATTCCGCTGGCGCAAGGTCGCTATGTGTTGCACGTAGGAGCCGTTTCATTTCGGCGCTCAGATGGCGACGAGAGGGGTCGGGAACAAATTTTGAAGGGGTCACCGCCAAGGACAATGACAGGCAGCCGTCGAGGGTGGCGGGAAGGTTGGGGCCTGCGGCTCTCGATGGTGTCTCTGCTGTTTCCTCCAGATTCCGCTTGCATGCGCTGTGTGGACTTCTGTTGCTCATGGACGAAGGAGTCGATAGAGGAGGGAGGAGGGAGACTGTGATAAATGCTTGGAGAAGCCGAAACGATGCACCGACGCCAGGCTTGATCGCCCACCATGTGCCCAGCACTAGCGCACAAGACCTCGTGACAGGGCTAGCCGAAAGAGGCCTACGTACTAGCTCAACGCCCAGGGTGGGCCTGTCGGCGTTCCAGATTGGCTCTTTCCCCCCCCTCCCCCCTCCGTTATCCTCAGCCCTCCTCCGAAGTGTGCGGCTCGAGTGTTCAAGAATTGCACAAGCATAAATTTCCAGAGTTCCGCGCTCGCTCCGTCTCCGCCCCTGGCGCGCTCCGAGCGCCAGGCACGAGTGGTTGCCCATCGCCGATCCGAGAGGTCCGCGCGGAGTTCCAAGAGTTTATGTGTGTGCAGGGTTTTCGGTTTCTAGTGGTGGGCTCGTGCATTGCCCCCCCCGCCCTGGTTAGCCTTCTGGGACGGAGATGGGCCCGCTTTCTCGTGCCCGAGTTCCGCCCGGCCCAAGCCTTGCCTCAGCACGCGGCCGCTTCTCTTCTCCGCCCCGGCCTGCGCTCCTGGAGCTGGCAGCCCCCAGCACTCTCTTACTCTGCTGGTTGGTTCTGAGATTCTTCCGAGGGGATCTCCGCTCAGAGTTCTCGGAGCGTCGCGGCCAGCTCCACCTAGGTAGCGTGGCGTGATTCTTCTCAGCCAGACTGGACGTTCCATTTTTCGATTTCGGCTGGCTCCGTCCCGAGTGCGTGCTTGCGGCAGGCGTCCGTCTTGGTTCGAAACTGTCGCGCCAAGCCTAGACCTTCACTATTGTTCATGTCTGCGAGTGCTTCGGAATCGAACGGCGTCGTGCACGAAACGAACAACGTGTTGTGGAGGCCTCGAAACCCTGGGAAGAAGAGCAGGAGTGGGAGGTCGAGGGAAACGCGAGAGGCTGGAGGGAGGGAAGAGCGGGAGGGGCGAGGGGAATGAGGACGACCAGGATGAATCAGGCGGAAGGGCATGGGCGCTGTCAGCTTGAAGGAGAGTCGTCAGGGGAGAGCGGGGAGCGATGTTCACAGTCAATCATTGTAGAGAGGATCGAAGGGGAGGGACGGTTGTGAGGGGAGTGGGGTGAAAGGGGAGAAGGGCATCCGCGACTTCATCGCTCCGCAGTGGGGGCGAGGGAGTGTGGAGGGGGAGCGGAGAGGAGAGGAGGGAGTGGGAGGAGGGGGGGAAGAGGGGGAGGGGAAGCAGGGGGGGGAGCGGAAGGGAGACAAGGGGAAAGGGCAGGAAGGAAGGGGGGGCAACCCCTCCTGATTCCTCTCCGCGCCGGCTTCCTCTGTCTCCTCGCCCGCTCGTGCCTGCACCCCCAGCCTTCCACTTGTTTTCCCCGTCCCGCAGTCTCCCGCCAGGCGGGAACGATCTTCCAGGATCTCCTTCCAGGATCTCCGTTCAGGATCCCCTTGTCCTCCTCCACCTCCTCCTCCTCCTCCTCCTCCTCCTGCTCCCCCTCCTCTTCCTCCTCCCTTCCTCCTCCTCCTCCTCCTCCTCCTCCTCCTCCTCCTCCTCCTCCTCCTCCTCCTCCCTCCTCCTGCTCCTCCTCCTCCTCCTCCTCCTCCTCCTCCTCCTCCTCCTCCTCCTCCCCTCCTCCTGCTCGTGCCTCCTCCTCCTCCTCCTCCTCCTCCTCCTCCTCCTTCTTCATCCCCTTCTCCTGGGGGTAGTTTTCCGTCCAGGATCCCCTTGCGATGGCCCTGGGGCCCGAACACGGCCCCTGGAGGCCGAAGTGGAAGAGCGCCAAGTGGCAGTTCGCGCGTAGCTTAAAACGTATGGTATTGTTGCGGGGTGCCTGGGGAAGGGGGATCTCCGCGGCCCACTTGGGCTCAAGTTTTTTCTCGGGCCCTTTGAGTCCGAGGCTCCGTGCGCTCGGGAGGCGGGGGCCGCGCAAGGTGATAGCGGAGCCGCCTGCGGCGTCGGCCCAGCGCAGGCAGGGTGGCGGCCCGGACGCCAGAGGGCGTCGCGGGCGGCCGCTGGCCGGGGCCCCGG